TAATGTTTTGGTTTTAAGCACCTTGTTGCTATTAACATCCGTATATTTTCGTGTAGATTTCAATAACTTGAATATATTTAGAAGCCTTTTTATTTAGAAATATATAGTTGTCACAAACATCTTATTTTCCTATATGTACTGTACAAAACCTTCATTTGCTCGTTCTTTTGCTCTTTGTGGTTGGATCTAACACTAACTGTATTGTTTTCTTACATCAATAAACTATATGTGGACCAGGCCCCCTCGGGGAGTGTGTTATCTGAGAAAAATGAGATAATTTATATTTTTGTTAGTGGTTATTGTTCATCCATGTTCCCTTTTTAACTTAGACTTGATTGGAAATCACAGCTTCCTTCTTTGATCGTACCATCTCCAACTTAATTATGAGCCTATTCAGTACTAAATTCTCCTACACAGTGTTGTACTACCGGCGGCCAAAGATGTTCAATTTTTTCACTTGTTATCACACCAGTTAGCAAACTTGAAAGGGAGAAGACAGCATATGTGTTACGGCAGAGCAAAAAGACTTTTTCCTTAAGACCAGCTTAGAGGCTCGTCTCTGGAAGCATTATCAAGGTAACACTGGAAAGCAGGAAAAAGTAAAATTCACGAGGGATCAATTAAAGGTGAACTTCTTAAAATTGCAGTGAGAAATGAAGCTGGTACTCTGTGATAGAGAAGGGTTGTTCTACGTTGTTGTGCTGTTGACTCGGTAACTTTGCTGTCCTAAAACCTGATACTATTGATACAACCTTGTAATGTGTAAATAGGGTCAAGATATTCTGTGCATTCTTCACAAAGTATTTTAGGAAACTTACGTCACTGTAAGAAATGAAGTGTGGATGTCACGATTTATTCTGGAATCTTTCGTTTCATTGACCTCCTGTAGAGTACTTCAAAATCACTGTGATGGTGAATAAGCTTCACGTGCTTTTTAAAAATACTGTTACAGTTCTACAGAAGCAAGAGCACTTTCCAAACTGACACAAGTGTGCTAATGAAACTAAATGGAACCATTGTTAAAAGATAAGGCACTGGTAGTGAAATCTGGTTGTGTGTTTGAGTAGAAGTTGCATAGAGAGAGAAAGCATGAGCATGGACTGCAGGATTAGTGCAGAATGAACATCTTGAATACACACACCTAGTAGATATTAAGGGTTTGCACAGAAGCCCTTGGATGTGGCGGTGTGCTTCCCACGGCAGTGCTTTCTCCAGTAGCAGTAGCAGCTGTGACAGTGAAGCTGGTAAAGGCTTAGGAAAGGCACCAGCAGACATGGGTTTAAATGAGCACTATTTCACCTAAGGATCTTCCCCATTTTCTGTCACATGTACTAACAAGCACAGCATGTTGTTTACTATGCTTGTAGAAGTGAATGAAATAAGACTGAACTGCAGTACGTGCAGCTGTTTGCACTGCGGGCAACTGGAGGAAAAAAAAGAAAAGGTCTTAGCCTGAAAACTTAACTTTTAAAGTTAGACCTGAGATTTCAAGCGTTCTCTTTTTTTCCCCTCCCACTGACCCCTAATTATTGTAACCGTAATTATCAAGACCTGCTCCCTATGGCTGTATTCTGGAAGTTACAGCTTCCCTACATTTTCACAACTAAGACTGATGTGCTGTAGTTACTGGGAATGGTTCTTCAGCTCTCAGAGATGCTGAAGAAAGCATGGAAAAGTAACAGTAACTGCTCCGGGCTGCTCAAAGCTGTGCTAAACGCTGCTGCGTGTTTGCTAAACCTGGAAGCAGTCATTGTAGCTGCTTTCATTTCTTTCCTTAGATTTTAGGACTCTCCAGCCTCATGCTAATCCTTTGGAGGACAAGATTTTTGTATACATTTATTTCTACACATTTGCTTCATGATTTTGAATAAGTTTAGTTGGTTTTTTTTTAAGTGTTGAGGCATTATCTTATAGCACTTACTCTTTACCAGTAGTAAAGAAGGAACTGCAGCTGGATGTGGTACCTGCTTTTGCATATGAAACATACTAAATTAAGAGCTTCACAAATTAAGAGACAGTTTTGCTTTCAGCAGCTCATCGGGACTGCAGCAGTAATCAAACCATGCACTTCACTGAGTGGTTGTCCAGCAGCTTAGGTGTAATATACTTGAAGTTGCCCGGAGTCCAGAGTGCACACTTCCTACCACACCTTTTGCCATGCAGTAAGATGGATTTAGACTGTATATTGATCTTGAAAAACCTCTGGTATTATAGAAACATTTTATATTAACAGTTTCCATTCCTGTTGTACGCACAAAGTCCCTGATAGTAATTATGAATCACTTTAGAAAGACAGATGCCAGAAAGAACAATTAAAGCTTTACATGCTTGCAATGAAATAAAGGTATAGGGATCAAAAATTATTACAGGTTTAATAACTGCATATTTAGAAGAAACATTCATTATTTAAACAGCTTCTTAAACAGCTAAACAAAGGTAGCTGAAGACAGAAACATGGGCTGTTCCACTGATAGCTGTTGGCTGGCTTTCTCTGTTGTTAAACTGCTGAATGAATTATTTCCTTCCACAAATCCAGGAGGCAGGCTAGAGGATAGGCCTGAGGTCAATCATCTGTTCTCCATCCCCTCTGATTAGCTGCTACTGAACAGCACGCACAATTCACCCAAATGTCACTGCACTTATGGATATTGTTCAGATTGCAATTATCCAGCATGAAAACAAACATTTCACAGGCCAGGAATACTCTGTAGGAAGGCCAGTATTGTCATAGGAACTCGTGAGCTGAATACCCAGCTTTCATTAGCAATCATAATACGCTTGACTCCCTGGAAAACTCTGATGTTGAGAACTGTGATTTTGATCCATGTTTTAAAACTGAGGTGTCATTTTCTTTCTGCTTCCCTGCTTACCTTGAGCAAAGCTTGCCAAGTTACCAAAAAGTTAAGAGTTTGCTACTGGATTTATACAGTATGGTAGATTTTGTGAATAACTGCAGTATTCTCTCATGAAAAAAAGTGGTATATTTTGATGGAATTCTTTTCTGGAACCAAGTACAACCTATTGCAATTGTATTTCTCTCGAAACACTTTGACATACTTGTGATTGTACTTCTTTTTGATTGTGTAACGGTATAAAATTCAATAAAAGAGAGGGTTTGTTTCTAATCTGTGACACCTGTGATCTTTCTGTTCATCAATTAGCCCCATTCTGAAAGACGGACATGGCAAAAACACTTTGAAAAAGAAAGTAAATACACACTATGAGCACAACTGAAACTTGCGTGTTTGAGGTGCAACCCACCTCGTGCTGAAGTCAACAACCCCCGTAAGTAAACATACACGTGGTCTGTTTTCCAAAAGCATTTATGAATTGTTCTCACCCTTACAGCCAAAACCACTCACGGTGGTTATCCCATCTCAATCAAGTGCACAGCACCCCTGAACAGGAGAGGATAAGCACACAGTTCCAGTCTAACACCAGGGACTGTGCAGGTGCTGCTGCGGGAAAACACAGAGAACAGAGCAATGGATATGGAGGCAGGGGGACTAAGATTTAAAAGAAACCTCTGAGTAATCAAGAACACCCTTAGTAACAAAACAGAAGCAATTTCAAATCCGAGATGATTTTCCAGGTGATTTCAGCTGCTCTCAACACATGCAAATAGTAAGACAGTAAGAATCCCAAGATCTTGCTAAGTGAACACCGTTTCCTATTGCACAAATTAGAAATTTCCTGCAATGTTTCTGTTTTGTTGTGATGAAGCCTGAAAGCAGGAAGCACGCACAAATGCTATCAACTCAGCAGAGTACGACCCCATTATTATATGATCCCCGGTACTAGTGATGTCTACGTATTTTGTTAAATAGCATATTAAAGCTAGGTGACGTACGTTCATGAAAACAAGATTTCCATGTTCTCAATTTGAAAAAGTATTCTGAACACATACGATACTCAAAAATAAACGAGTTACCCTGTGCCATATGCAACTTGAGAAACCTGTTATTTATAGCTATGTTTACGCAGGATAAATAGCTTAACTTGCATCTTACAGGGCAGGACAAGCGGGAACTCGTATCCCTTTGTTTAGCAGTTATACGAAGAAGATACGGTAACTAGCACGCTGTTCCTTGGAAAGCAGTCAGTGGACAGCTGAAATATACTAATAAATAACACGAAGGAGCACTGAACAAAAACAGTTCATCAAGAAACGTGGAGGATTAATTAGCCTAAAAAAACAACACTATTTGAGTGTAAAAGCAACAGAATGAGAATTTTGCAAGAAGATCCCGTTTGTTTTCCTCTCTCTCTCTCTCTCTCTCTCTCTCACACACACACACACACACACACACACACACACACACACACACACACGAGCCTCGTCCCGCTGCATCCTCTCTCACAGCGCGGTGCTGCAGCCCTGCCTGCCTTACAGAAGCACCGATCCGCCTGGTGCTGCTTCACACTGCATCCCTGAGAAACCACCGTCAAAACTGGGAAAACACACCTGGCGAGCCGCATCGCTGCTGTTACACTAAGGGATAACCGCCGTAACTGCAGCGACGGCTCCGGCCCCTGCCTCCCGTCCCTGCGCCCATCGGGGTCCGTACGCGTGGGCTGAGGAACGCTAACCGCTGTCCCCACAGCGTCAGCATCCAGTTCCATTAGCTCACCGGGGTCACACGGGATGAACGGGGTCGCAGCCCTACGTCTTTAAACAGCACTTGAACTAAATGTATTTTCAGAAACAAACCAACCAACCACCCGGCCGCGCCGCTCGCTCGCAGCTCGGTGCGCACAGCCCCGCTCCCCGCCGTTCCCGCTCTCCCTCACAGACCTGCGCTCCGGCCGCTCTCCGCCGCCTCGGCCGCCGCCCGCGCCTACGTGCGCCGGGGAGCGAGGGGTCAGAGAGCCGCCGGAGCCCGCACCGCTCCGCGCCGAAGCCGCGCCCACCCACTCTACGTGCAGCCCGGCAGCCGCGGCCCCCCGCTCCCCGCCCGCCTACGTGTGGCAGTGCATGCGGGGAGCGCCCGGCACAGCGCACCCCAGCCAAGCCCCGCCGCCCTCCCTCACGGAGAACCCGTGCACGGAGCAGCGCGCATGGCCGGGAGCTGCGCAGGCGCCCTGATGGGACGCGGGGCGCGTTAATGGCGGCGGGGTGAGCTGTGAGCCGCGAGCCATGAGTGTCGTGCCTGGGCTGCAGGAGGACTGCGAGGCGCTGCTCGGTGCCTTCCAGGAAGCCGACACCGTCCGCTTCGAGCGCTTTGCTGAGCTGTGGCGGGAGCGCCGCTTCCACACCATCTTCCAGTGAGTGACCGGCCCTTGTGGGTTGGCTTAAATAGTATAACGTAGATTGTTGCCTTTTTCACTCCGGATCTAATTTACTACACGCAGTGCTGCTTGAGAACATAGAGCACAGCCCTCTGTGGAGTTACCAAGAGTAACGCTTTAAAGTTCCTAGAGCTCGCTGCTGCGTTATGGATGCTGTGACACCCGTGCTTTTACTGTCGGTTGCTGCAGCGTATTGCTTTCTGTTTGCTGTAGTGGTAGAATGAGAGCTCTGGAGAGGAATAAGATCACAAAGAAGACGTTGGAGCTGGCACAGCAGTACTTCTTGCCGCCGTATGCCTTCCAGATCCGAGTCGGCGCTCTGTACCTTCTGTACGGGCTCTACAACACGCAGCTCTGCCAGCCGAAAATAAAGGTAACTTACTGAGCCTCCTTGGCAGGTGTGGGGCGTGAGATGTTGTCATGGCATTACTAAGGTTGGAAAGGGTTGCTGAGATTGTTTGTCACCATTATAGTAAAGAAGTTCTTCCTTATGTTTGTATGGAAGTTCCTGTGTTCCAGTTTGTGTCCATTGCTACTTGTTTTGTCTCTGGGCACCATTGAAAAGAGCCTGAGAAAAAAAAAAGAGAGAGAAAAGAACCATCTGTTTGACTCCCACACTTCAGACATTTATGAACAGTGATGAAATTGCCTCTCAATCTTCTCCAGGCTGAACAGTCCCAGGTCTCTCAGTCTTTCCTCATACAGATGTTCTATCTCCCATTCATCTCTGTGGCCGGTGGCTGTACTCTCTCCAGAAGTTCCCTGTCTTTCATGATGGGGAGCCCAGAACTGGACACAGTGCTCCACTAAAGCAGAGCAGAAGGGAAAGGATAACCTCCCTTGACCTGCTGGCCACGCTCTTTTTAATGCACCCTATGACACCGTTGGCCTTCTTGGCCACAAGGGCACACTGTTGGCTCGTGGAACATCCTATTGTCACCAGGACACCAAGGTTTTTCTCCACAGTCAGTGGGAAGCTAGAATATTCTCCTCAAATGTGGAGAGAACTCCACGACAGCCTTGGTTGTTTATTAGAATTTCAACAAAGTGGAGACTGGTTAAATTATTTCCAGTTCCTGTTAACTAGAAGTAGAATTCGTAAATAGGTGGAAAGTCTGAGCAATATGTGCCTTCTTACTGCCTCTAGGAGAAGAGATTGGTATAGAAATGAATTAGAAAATCAGTGCAAGTGGTTTGTGCAGAAACAGTTGTGTATGTTGTGTGCACAACTGAGTCCAAATTCCTTACACAGGAAACAAAGTATTTTACAGTGATGTCATTACATCTCAATCTTATAGAGGAGTCGTTTTACAGAGATGAATTCTGGCAATTTTAAAGCCACTGCTATACAGGAAATGTTGGTGAGCGCAGGAATCATCCAAGAAGGTGCCTTAAGTAGAATGAAAGTGAAGTGGGCTGAGCAGGTGGGAGGATGGAAAGCAAGAAATGAGGAAGACTTTCTTGAGCAGGGCATTGTAACAGTACACAACTGATTTGTTGCAGATCAGGATTGCCCTCAAGGACTGGCCTGAAGTCCAGAGCTTTCAACAGGATCTGATAGATTCCCAGCATTATGATGCAGCATACATCTTTAGGACACTGCGTCGTGCCAGAGCATTCCATTTCACAGCAATGCCAAAGCTAGTGAGTTATTTTGTTAACAACCTACCATTTTTAATAAAATATCTTCAGCTTTCAATGGCTGGCAGTCCAACAGCACTCGTGTGCTTGACGCTGTGCACTGTGCCTTGCTTTATGTAACTGGGCACACAACATAAAGCTTAGAGGACGTTTGAATGCAGCACATTTCTCACCTGACTTTTTTTTTCAGTATCTAATCTTGTTACAATTTGAGATGTCGTGTAACTTGTGGAAATGTTGAGCTCCTGAGTTAGAGGGCTGGAATGATTTTTTTAAAGTGCTGGTTGAGCACTTGGCTGCGAAGATGCATGCTGTTGTCCATGAGGTAGTTTTATGCCTTTCAGCATCTCTTGATTGTTAGATATGCAGCTAAAACTCTCAAGAGTAGGGTGGTTTAAGTTGACCTTTCACGTTACAAAGCCTTGTCTCCTGCTTTAGCTAAACTACAGAACTAAGAAGAAGATCCAAGAAAATGAATGCAAAGAAGAATTTAAAGATCCAAGTAACAGAGTAAGCAGCCTCATCACGAATGATGTATTGGAGGTACAGTAACTTTAAACTGTGATTAAGCTTCTGTTTGTTCTGGTGTTTTTCTTCTGTTATTGAAAAGCTATACATTCTCTAATTAGCCCAAGATGGTCCTTTGTGCATTTCTTATGGAATGCAGACTAAGGTGATAGTCTGTCTTAGCAGTTTTTTTGAATATTCAGAAACACAGTATTTAATTGGGAAGAATTTTTGTACCTGTTGCTACCATATGGTACCTGTACCACACATTCCTATGTTTTTTCTGGCTTTGCCTCAATAAGATGTAAATGGTAAAGGGAAAAATGGCCATTTCCCTTCCCAAGGGGTGGGGGAGGGTGAAGAAAAAAAAGAAAAATGTTGAGTTGGGAAAAGCAGGTTTGTTTTGTTGTGTCTGCAGATTGCAGCTGGAGGCTGGGTATGGATAGTAAGACCTTAATCACCAAAGGTTATAGCCTTTTCTAACCTCTGTTTTTCCTTTTAAAACTTGGTTTTCTTAAACATATAAAATATTTCTTTTTTTTTTTTAAAAAAAAAAAAAAAGCCACAACAGAACAGTGATTGAAGCAGGTTATAGCTTGCATTGTACATTGTAACTCAGTAAATCCTTGCTTAAAAAAGTCCAGTTATCTGAAATGTTGGCATGAGAAGGCTGTGAAGTGATTCCTCTGAAGAGATGAAGAAAGGAGACCTCCTTGAGGTCTGATCCTTGGCATCACTGAGCCTTCCTTCTTGGTTTAAACAAAAGATACTCTTTCTTCTTTTGCTTACTCGGTGTGCTGATGGGGAAGTGCTAGGTAATATTACTGCTAGGCTCTCTGAAATGAAACTGATACAAATAATCTAACTTCTGCTAATTCAGTGGTGTCCTTAGGTTATATAATCTTGGTTTTCTTCAGCGAGAACTCATATCACTTTATGCTGTAATCTTTTTCCTGAAAAGTGTCTCTTTTCCTGTTTTAGGAACTGATGAATATTCATGAGCACTATCAGAAAATGAAATGTGCCATATCAGCTGACAAATCCCAGCCAGACAAGGCCCTGAGCTTGATAAAAGAGGAATTTGTAGTTTCTCTTAAAGACATGGCTTTGGAACATCAGGAATGGCAGCAAAAAAGATTGGTAGGTAATACCAACCACTGTGCTGTGGCAATTTAACAGGTTATGTGAGAGTGTAAGAACTGGTGTAGAGCTGGGATCTCAGTCTAAGAACTGGAACACTGAAGAATGGAGCGAGTCAAACTCAGGGTTGTGGTGTGGGGGAAAGGATGGTGACTTGTATGTGACACTGGCTGCATGATAACAGAAATGTTTGCCCTGGAATGTGTGATTTGTGGATGGTATTAGAATGACCGTGCGAAATACCTCTGTAGCAGTTTATGGTCAAGGAAAGGCTGTAATGTCAGATTAGTGAAGAAAATGGACACATGTGGTTACTGCTCTGTGAGTGACTGACATTGAAAAAACATTCTGTATTGTCCTTCAGAAATTGTTACTAAAAGCTAAAGAAGATGATGAAATGCCAAACAGAGTGGAAGAAGGAACTTCGCTAAGATCAGAAGTAAGAAAAATGAACTTGTTTGCTACATTGCACAGGCAGAATCTGCTAATTTCTTAACTCAATATCATAGGTGAGGTGGGTTTTTCCTGTCATTCCAGGGCTTGACAAAGTCAAAGTAAGTTCCAGGAATAATTAGTAGAGTTGGGGTTTTTATTTTAAGTTGTGTTGTTTGCTGTTAAGCTCTGAGCACACTGCTGTGATAGTACTGGGATGCTAGAAGTAAAAAAGATACGGCCCCTTTCAGATAAGGAAGGGAAAGAATTGTGTTTTCTTGGCCAAACACCTTCATGATCCCTCCCAGAGTTTCACCTAAATGCAGTAACTATTTTTAATGCTGTAAAATTCTCTTGTATTGTACTTGCCTGCTAGTTTCAACTGTGAATTTGACTAAGAAGTGAACTTTCAAATTTTATTTTCTGTTCCTGAGCTGTGGCAGGAACCTGAAGGCAACCAAATTCAGCTTTGCATTCTTAATGGAACTTGAACTTTATTTAAGAAACAATTTGTCACCATTTATTATGGAATTACAGCAATAATGAAATACTGTGAAATCTGATTTAAGAGTTCGTTTTAATGTTACTGTAATAGAAAATGCAATCTTTTCCTGAGTAATCCTTTTGTTTCTCTGCAGGGTTCTGAAAGAGCAGATGCTTTGGCTAGAATCAAGCACAAGTCTTATTCTGCAGTTGTTGAGGTAGGTGTAAAATTTGATGGTAGAGATGTAGTTATTTTAAATGATAATTTAAAGTACTAACAGTGTGAACAATTGATCAAAAAGGAAGCAGTTAAAATTGCACTCTGTAATTCAGCTTTTGAATGTTCTGGTTTCCATATCTAACACATAGGGGAAACGTGAGGTTCTTGTTATTCTTGTTAGATTAATGAAGCAATGCCAGTGTGGTCTGTGCCTGGGGGTTTTCATTTACAAGGTATCTTTTCATGTCAGTGCTCTGTTTTTAATAGATGGAATTTTAAGTAAATGGAATTAAGAAGTACTTGTGTTCAATGGTTCCTTGAGGCTCAGATGTTTGAAGCTGTGAAGATTCTTGTGAGAATGGAACTTGGGGGTTTAAAGCCAATAGGAAATTTTTGGAATTGTTTCTCTAAGTACTACTCAAAAAATATGATTGAATTCTCCTTCTTATGGCAGAGCCATGATAAACATTGCATCATTCTTTGTTTATTTAGATTATTTATTGGAGAATTCATTATGAAATGAAACAGAACTCTGGGGTGTACAGCAGTTCAGACTTCTGAATGAAGCATTAAATGACATACAGTAACACACAGCTATAGCAGGTTAACTTCTTTTTTTCATAGTTCTTACCAATCTTTACCTTCTAGGCCTCCAAATCCAGAAGACATCGCCAAGTAGTACTAGAATCTTCTGAATCAGGACTGGATTATGGGAAATCTCCAAAACGAAGTAAAAAAAGCAGTAGGAGACCACAGCCAGCAGAGAAAAGAGGTTCTCTGGAAATCAGAGGTTTTTTTCCATTGCCATTTAGGAAGAAATTCTTTACTGTAATGGTGGTGAGACAATGGAACAGGTTGCACAGAGAGGTTGTGGATGATTCATTTACGGGTCTCAAGAAACTGGTTTGGTAACAGTTTTTTGCACTTGCTTACATTCCAAGTATTTGCACATCCCTGCTTGTGCATCTTTTATTTTTTCCTTTTTCCTTTGGACTTGAAAGACAGTCCTTTCATCTCCATCTGCCAGTTCTGAAGGCGTGGGAAATGGCTTTTGTTCTCTGAAGTCAGCTTTCCAGAGTCCAACTTCTAACTGATAAAAGTTGCTCAGCCATTTCAGTCTTTCATTTGGCTTACTGTTTATTGAAGGTTAATGAAAAGTGAGCAGGGAAGTAGTTTTGAATAAACCACCTTGAAGAGAATGATTTCAAAATTCCAAAGTCTGCCTTGCTTAGCTTCTGAGAAAATTCAGCCCACTTCAGAGCTGGGCATTAGGCTACGCTGGCTCTGCTTCACTTCAGAACATTAGGTGTAGTATTGGAGAGGGAATAAGGAGAGGAGCTTTGAATAATCTCTGAACTGAGCTGGTGATCAATGCTGTTAGTTACTTGTTACAGAGCATTTTTCTGCTGAGCCTTATGAAGATACTGGAAACAGGTGTTTCTCCAAACAACCTTTGCCTGCAAAGTCAATACAGATACAAGAGAACAGTCTTCTAACTACTGAAGCTAAGATACAGAAGTGAAAAAGAAACTAATATTAATAAAAAAAGAAAAACAAAAACCCAAAGCTGACTTTTTCTCCTAAAAAATCTGTCTGCAGGTCGGATGCAAGCAGAAAAGGAAACTGTTACTCGCCATATTGGGATGCCTGTAATCACAGAAGAAGACAGCTCAGATACAGAAGGTATCATGATTGAAATTCTAAGAGTCTGTAGGCTTGTTTTGTTAATTGCTCTGTACTATGCTGTATTTTTTTTTTTTAAACTAAAATTGGTGCCTTGAATTGCTTTGCTTTCTTGCAAAAGCTAGGTTAGTTTTCATCCTGTAAATTGTTACATCAAAACCGAAGCTTTGCTCTGATAGTTTGTTGCAAGCAAACATGATGGCAAAATCCTGGGAGTCATGTTCATTGTACATAAAATTATTTCCATTGGCAGTTCATTGATAGTCTGATAGATCCTGCTTACAAAGAGGAAGGCAGACTGAAGAGCTCGACCAGAGATCCTTGCTGTTAGCCTGAAAGAATGGGATTTAATTTATTGAAAGGGAAACAAGAGGATAAGTGCAACTTCTGTAAAGGCCTGGCAGCATAGATGAATGTGAGGAATACATGTTTTGGAGTTAACTTACTATCAAAAACTGTATGTAACAAAAGATTATTTTCATACAAGAGAGAATAATAACAAAATACATCCACAGCAAAGTAGTACGGCCTCTGATCATCATACTTCGCTGCAGACAATTTGAATTCATTCAACTTTTAGACAGGTTGAAGGCATGATGGTGTATTTTATATTGTACATGATGTTGTTTGTTCCTCCTCCAAGTTGTCATGATGTTTTGTCTCTAAGTCAGTTCCTCAGTTCTTTGAATAGTTTTACCAGTATTTGAAGCATTAAAAAATACCCATAAGTAAACTTAGGTGTAACTTTGTTACTAAGTGTTCCATATTAAAGATGTTTATGAGGAACAGAAAGCTCTCGAAGTTGAATAAGTTGGAAAGGACAGTACTTTGTTAATCAATGGGATTTCATTTAATATTTTGAATGATAATATGCCATAGAATCTGGAAATATTTTTTTTTTTCATATTTAAAGTCATGCAGAGAGGGATTCCTGAGGGAATCTCAGGAGCTCATCTAATTCATTTCCTTCTTCTGGGCAGAATTAATTCTAGTTTAATTATTCCCAGGAGGGAAGATAGATTGCAAAGTTTGTCAGAAAAATCTCTTTATTTCCTTTCAGAAGTACCTGTCTCCAAGAGGAGAAGACGTTAGGATCCACTTGGAGAACACTAACGTGAATTGTGATGACAAAATGTAAATGTCAGATGTAACACAGAGTGCTTGTTTGGATTCCACTGGATGTACAACAGGAACTGGCTGGCACCAGAGCTACAGCTGACACAGGAGTACTGGCTCTGAATGCTGTACCTCAGCAGTCTCATGGTACTGCACCTGGTGCCTTCATTCACCTGGCTGATGATTCCTGTGAGAGAAGAAGTTGCTCTGCACTGTGTGAGATGAGAAGAGGGAGAAGATGGTTCCTTCTTGTATTTAGTTTCTATAATGCAATAATCTCTTGGAACTCACCTTGACTTGCAATGACTTTTTAGCAGACACTCTTGAAAGAACAGCTCACAAAATACTTGCCTGTGTTTGTACAATAAATTATTTCTCACTGTTTACTTGCTACATTTTATAGCACGCAAATTCAGCAATATTTATCAATGTAAATTGATAAATTTATACAGGTGTGGGAAATGAACTTGGTGATAAGCCTTTTATTGTATTCAGTCTCCTGCAGATCTGGCTTTGTTGTATATTTGAATGAGGAAATACAGTGCATGTTTATTGTTTATTTTTTTTTGTAGGTGACACCAAGCTGTACAAAGGCAGAACTAGAATTCAAAATGATCTTTATCAATTGGAGCAGTGATGTGGAAAGAAGTAGGAATGGAAGTAAACATGAAGCTTAGCACTAGGAAAAGGTACAGAGTGGGGAAACAATTGCTAGGCAACAGTATTGCAGGAAAAGCAAAAAGACTGAGAATCATGCTGGAGTATTTTCTGTAAACAGTAACATCCTCTAGCATTTGTGTCATCATTCAGCCCTGTAAGGCTTAAATACTCTCTTATGACCATTGATAATAAAAACAAAAAAAAACAAAGTGGGTAATTATTCTCTTTGGTATTTTCTGCAGTTAAACACAGCTGCAAAAAAAAAAAAAAACCCACAACCTGTCAAGAAAGGCCAAAGAGTTTGAGGTGTCCTTTTCTACAAGAATAAGTAGGGATACAAAAGATTTTTTTTTTTTGGCATAAAAGGGGTCTGAACTGAGTGAGTTACTGTGGTAGGTATTTCAGAGCCCAAAGGAATGAAAGTGCCTTTACCTAGATGAAGGAACTCTGAAGTGAAAAGATAAAGGGTTGGAATATAAAAACGGCAGGTATTAAATGCATTAGTTGGTAAGGAGGAGCAGGCCCAAGTGACAAAAATTGGACACTGGAAAAGTTAATAATTAAGCACCAGTATTGCACTCAAACCCTCATTTATGGACAACAAGGAAGCGCTTTATTAAGAAGCCAAAAATGTAATTGACTGAAGAATGGTATTCATAGCACAGTAATCACCATTTGTATAGCAAAGCTAAAGGATCCTCTGCGTGGGCATTTGAACGTGTGGAGGCCATGTTTGCAAGGGCAAGGGGGCAGTACTATGAAATGTTCAGGTGCCACCTGTTTAGAAGACACTTACGTGGAAGACATTTTGCACTGTAATTTTCACTGCAGTGGAAAAATCAGCAAGGCCCAAGCAAGCCAAGGTAAGTGCAAAAGGTACTGTGGGCCGTGTGGGGAGTGAACATCACGTCTAGAAGAATCCTAACCAAAAAAAAGTAAAAAAAAGAAATAGACTATGCAAGATTAGTGGGAAAGGTTTGAGAGTGGTTGTAAGAGGCTTCATAGCTCTGTAACGTGTATGTAGACCCTTCCAGGTCACAGCAACGGGAAGAAACGAACTGGAGCACTAAGGTTGGAAAAGCTCCCTGCGGTCAGGCAGCCCTCAGCTGTGCGCGGCGCAGCCCGCCGCGTTCTCCACACACCTCAGGCACGTCGGGCGGTCCCGGGGCACCTCGAGGCGTTGGAAGTCGCGCAGCATTTTGGGAGAGACGGGGTGAAACCGCCGATCCTCCCTAACTGCCTTTGTCCGAATTCCGTTGCGCGCCCCGGGGCTGCGGGCAGCGGTTATGGGGTGCGGGCTGATACGGAGCCCCGCTCCTGCGGAAAGCCGCGCCGCCTTCAGCCCTCACGGCTCCGCGCGAAGAGAAGGCGGCGGGGCCGGGATCCCCTCCGCGCGGCCCGGGGGCTCCCCCCGCGGCGAGGCGGGCGGCGGGGAGGTGCCGTGCGGGTCGGTCAGCGCGTCCCCTCCCCGGGCCGAGCTCCGAGTCCCCGGCCGCCGCCATCGGGAAGTCGGGCCGCGCCGCTGCGGCCGTGGCGACGGACGGTGAGTGGAAGCCGGCGGCGCCCGGAGCGGGGGGAGCGGTCGGTCCCTGACCGCGGCCGGGGACTTCACCGAAGGCGGGGGGTGTCGGTGCGGTCTCTACCGCGGGGCGGGGCGGGCAGGTAGGAGCGCGGGGATACGGGTTTGGGGGGAGAGAAACCGCTTAACGACGTGCGCTTTGAAAAGCACGAACAAAGAGCGGGTGGCCTTGCGGTTACGGGAGGCTTGGCTGCGTCCGTGCGCTTCCAGGCACGGCGGGGCTGCTGGGGTTCTGACCGCGCTGATGCGAAGGTAATCGCCTGCCGCGCCACGATCGATTCCTCCGTTCCCGTCCCCACCCGGCGTGAGCCTGGGTTGCAGTAGAGCCCCGGCTGCGGGAGGGCTGGCGCTGCTGCTCACACCTCATTGCGCAGCCCCCCCGCTTACAGCCCGGCTCCGCGCTGTTACCGAGCGCCCGGGGATCTCTCTGTGTCTTTCCCCAGCTTGTTTGGAGGACAGATAGACCTGGTAGCCTTGAAAGACATCAGGATGGCATGCCACGGTTCATAAGCTTGCAATAACAAAATCCCAAGCTTGGAGGGGAGATTTAGGTTGGATGCCAGCGGGAAATTCTTTACAGAGAGAGTGGTGAGGTGCTGGCTGTTCCAGAGAGGCTGTGGATGCCCCGTCCCTGCAGGTGTTCAAGGCCAGGTTGGATGGGGCCCTGGGCGGCCTGGTCTGGTATTAAATAGGGAGGTTGGTGGCCTTGTATGTGGCAGGAGAGTTGGAGATTCGTGATCCTTGAGGTCCCTTCCAACCCTGGCCATTCTATGATTCTGTGAGCTCTTCATAAGGATTGGACTTAGTGGGGAGAATAATTTCTCTCTTCCTTTTGTCATACAGTGATGCTCACCTGTGTCTGCTGTTCCACACTGTCTTTCAAAACTGTGCCCCAAAGGGGAGGTGACCCTGGACAAGGCCCAGACCGACATGATGTGGACGTGGCTTTTGGAGTTCTCCTCCCGTGAATGTGAGTAGATGGAACTAAGAGGACAGCAGGGAGTGAAACAGTTGCTTGTGGTGCTGTATCTGACCCTCCTCACAAGCCTGACTAACACCAGAGGTGGAGTTCAAGCATTGTTACGCTGATTGTAGCCTGAAGACAGGTGTACTGCCTTTTGGTTCAGCTACTGAGGCTTTGGTGCTGATCATCATTTTCTACCTTCTATTAGCAGAGGTTTGCTTTGCAGAGTAGGAAGCATTTGTGCTCTGCTGGATGCTATTCTCTGGGCTTGTTCAACCTGGTGAAAAAAAGGCTGCAAGGTGACCTAATAGCAGCCTTTCAGTACCTAAAGGGAGCCTACAAACAGGAGGGGAATCAACTCTTTGAAAGGGTAGATAGCAGCAGGACAAAGGGAAATTTTTTTAAGTTGAGGGAGGGAAGATTTAGGTTGGGTGTCAGGGGGAAATTCTTTACAGAGAGAGTGGTGAGGTGCTGGAACAGCTGCCCAGAGAGGCTGTGGATGCCCCATCCATCCCTGGAGGTGTTCAAGGCCAGGTTGGCTGGGGCCATGGGCAGCCTGGGCTGGTATTAAATGGGGAGGTTGGTGGCCCTGCCTGTTGGCAGGGAGATTCATGATCCTTGAGGTCCCTTCCAACCCTGGCCATTCTGTGATTCTGTGTTCCTTGTAGTTCCTGCTGTGCACTGCTGTCTTGTGGCTGCTTTTCCCTCTCACTGGTGTTGCAGCAAGACCAAGCTAATAAACCCTGCTAAACTCATCTGTCTTGGTCTGGAACAACTGGAATATCTTGCACTGCTTGCCATTTTCTGCTTGTTTTGTGCGCCAGGTTAGACCTGGCTGAAGTTCCTTTATTTCTCACCAGTTCATATCTCAGCCTTAGTGGTCCCATCCTGTAGAGCTACGTGCTCTGGGCTGTACTGCTTTCAAAACTCCCGATATGCCTTGTGTTTATCAGGTTCCTTGGTGGTTTGCAATATTTAATCTTGGTAAGCACATCTAGCAGTTAATTCCTTATCCCTGTGACACTTAAGGAATGTTTTGATTGAGGAATAATACCTTGAGCACAAAAGACCTGAGGAGTGTTCAATATTAGGCTGCATTTCCTGGACTTGGTAAGATGGTGTACTTGTATTAAATTCCATTTGGATATAAACTGTGATCTTTTTTCATGTGGGCGAAGGTGCATTGTTCTGTTCAGCTTTCTGTCATCTGACAGGTGCCAGCCCTGCCTGTACTTGCATGGAGCAGTGGTACCATTGGTGGATCACAGGGTTTGTGTTGGTTAGGGAACTTGGGGAGGAGTAGGGATATCGTGTAGCTTAGGTGGTGCCAGCTTCTGTCCTTGAATCAGAGCTGTTCCTCAGAGAAAGGCATAATAGCTGGAGTGCCTCTCTTTCCCTGTGATTCTGGGCTGCCAGAGGAGGTGGTGGTGATGACTTGTGGTGATCTGGAGTTATATGTCTGAGCAGTCTGCTCTGATTTTTATTGTTAAATAATTCATTGTTCCTGCTGGCTGAGGGATCAGAAAAGAAGCAAGTTTGGTCTCCAAAAGCTTTGGCTTCAACCCAATTTGAAATGAGTGCAGCTTAAACACAGTTCAGGTTAGTGCTGGAGTGAGCCAAATGCTGCATGTCACTTAAATACACTGCTAATGGTAATAAATATGGTCTCCTCACAGTAGTAAGTGTGCGTCAGGTGTTTCTAAATGAAAATTTTTACCAAGAGAATATACTGAAAAGATTAGTTAAATGGACACACAAGTCACTTCTCAGAGTAGAATCACAGAATCATTGAAGTTGGAAGAGATCACCAACCCACCACCACCATGCTCACTAAACCACATCCCGCAGTGCCACATCTACATGTTTCTTTGAACACCTCCAGGGACAGTGACTCCAATTTGAAAGTTGGTTTCAGCAATATTGGGACTTAACCACGCTGCACATCTACAGCCCTCTTCGTTGTGCAGGTTGTCTATATTCCACCTGAAGGCAGCTTCGCTCTGTTAAAGCTTTTAATTAAACACTTTGTGTTTGTGTCACTTCATGCACATGGGTATCACAGTGCAACAACATGCCGTTAATAATTACTGGGGCAGTAGTAAGATCCCAGGCAGAGTAACCGAATCCTAGTTTCTTTGTTAAGCCACCAGGATTCAGTTACTCTGCCTGGGATCTTAGGTGTA